TATGTACAATAAATGCAAGAATTATAAAACGAATTTATAACAGATTTTGAAATCAGGGGAATGCTAAGCAAGTGAATTTAAATTGCAGAATTTTTCTTGATACAGTAAGACCCCGCTTAACGCTGTTTCGTTTAGCGCTGTTTCGGTTTAGCGCTCTTTTATTTCAACCCGGGGATTCTCCGAAATTGTGCGCAGCGCTAGGTTTCCAAATAACATATCCGAAACAGTGTAGTTGTGTTTCTTGCTTTTTAATCATTTGAAACAACATTTGTTGACATTATTGTAAGTTTAAATTTGATATATAATACTATAACGATTAATAATACAGTGACAAATATTATGTATGATCTTTAGTTTTTATCATGGGTGATAATACGAGTAAAACACAAGAAAAGAAAGCAACCAGAAAAAGGCATTTCACTGGAAACTCAAATGCAAGCGATTAGAAGATCAGATTCCGGTGAACGTCAATCTCAAATTAGCGCTGCATTGATTTTGGCAACTTCAACAATAAGGACAATTCTTAAGAATAAAGAAAAAATACTGTCATGGGCAACTGCAACTACGTTAACAAGCTCTGCAACTAGAATTACCCGTTCTAGAAATAACATTATAGAGGAAATGGAAAAACGACTGTCTATATGGATTGACGACGAAATTGAACGCAATATGCCATTAAGCCAATCTATCATAATGCCTTCTTGACAAAAAGGCAGAAAATTGGAAACCCAGAATAGAATGAATGATCTGACTGAAAATTTTATTTTGTTTTTAAAAGTATACGCGTTTATATTGTTTTTATTTTGTAAGAAATAAATGTTGATTTTATTTTATTAAAAAAAACATTATTAAATTTAATGCCTAACCATTTTTTATCCGTCTTCCCCTAACCCCATTATTTACATGTTAAGATAGCCTCGCTTAGCGCTGTTTCGCATTACGCTCTACTTCGATGGAACGTATCCCCCGCGTTAAGCGGGGTCTTACTGTAATACACTTGTGCATAACAAAGCATAAATCCTAGTATGGTTTTGCAATTGCTGGATACTGTTACGATTTGGCCATAGGAAGGAACTGACGCCAGTGTGACGGAGCTCATATTTTACGTGTGTTTAGACATTGAAGTACATCAAATACTTCTACACTTTAGCGCCTAATCACACGTAACACAAATAAACATACAATTCTATTTGAGTGCACAGTCGTTGTGAAAAAAAAAAAAAAAAAAAAAAAAAAAAAAAAAAAAAAAAAAAAAAAAAAAAAAAAAAAAAAAAAAAAAAAAAAAACTCATCCGAGGGGAAAAAAAACTCGAGCAATATACTTCCCGTCAATCAAACTAAAAATTTCATATTATTAACATCGCAGAATTTAATTTTTCTTTTTATGTTACTGGAACACGATCATGAAGTTTAAAGTGTTATTATTAGCACAGATAAAAAAAATTTAACTGTTACCAAATACATGCATTTAACTCGATAGTAATTAAAATTCAGACTCTGTAACAAGTAACTCTGTAACATTCAGACAGTAAAAAAAATATCTTATTCTGATAACATTTGTTTACAGAATGCTACTGTTAAATTTCTTAGAAGTTTTTTTTTTCTCCCTTAAAAGGAAATTTAAATTCTTAAAATCTCATTTTTATTTCCTTGTACGAAATAAAGGAAGTATTCTAATCGCGAAAATTTTCGGGTGACATATTTCAACGAAAACATCCATTTTGATCGCTATCGAATGCAATTTAACGATGTTTTGGTGTGACATCTGTACGTAAGGACAGATCCAAAACAGGTTGCAAAAAGGATTTAAAATGGATTTAGAACGGATTTTTTTTGTGCCTTCTGTGCGTATGTACCTATCTATATCGCATAACTCAATTGTTGACTTAATTCAATATTCTGCCAAGTTTCAAATGCAAACAAATATGGCTGCTATGGTATAAAAATTAGGCTTAGGCGCACTTAAACAACTTTTAAATTGTTGAATAATTCTACAACTATTGCATGCAGATTAACTAAGGGCAAAAACTTTAACCGGGAGATAAGATCAACATAATTCAATCATTTTTAAAGCAAAAAAATGCGCAATTTACCAACATATAAGTATAAAACACTGAACTCATTGGGCCGACTAACAGTGTGGATTTATATACTTTTGATGTGGCCGACTACAACCAAAAAAAGGAGGTACACAACTACATCTTATAGCTGTTCTATATACAAAATTCAACGTGCCTCTACGTACTAATTGATGCCTCTACGTACGTACGTATGTATGTATGAATGTATCTGGCATAACTCAAAAACGAGTAGCTCAGAACGTTGAAATTTTGTACATAGGACTGCTATAACATGTAGTTGTGCATATCCGTTTTTGTTTGGAATCTACCTCAGCAATAGTTATATAAATACGCATGTCATAATTTTCCGAACCACATTTGCGATGACTAAATGGTAGCGCGAGAAGAAGTTAATACCAAAACAGATTTAGCCAATTAACATCTTTATTTGCAGATTTCCAGGCACACTGTAATAATTACTTGTAGACAATATACACTTTAATCATGGCAATCACGATAATTTCTTATATGCACAGGTAAAAAGTACGACGTCATCTTAGGCAAATAAGCAGCAGCATGGAAAAGTAGTGTGTTGCTAGCAGGAAAGCGTAAGCGAAAGAGAACGCAGCAGTTCAAAGGAAGAAGGGAGGAAGTTGATAGTTTTAGTTCGAGTTATAGAAAGTTTTGGTTTACAATTATCTGATTGTCGCAGAAGGTGTCTGCATTGGGGACTCGTACACCTTAAAACCCATAAGATCTTCTAATATGTGACTGTTGCAAGAATTATAACTTATTTATTTTAAAAGCAATTACTTCCAACTTTTTACAGCTGACTACATAATATAGCTGCTTCTTAAATAGTGATCAGAAAGTTTGTGTTGCCACAAATATTTTTATAATTTAATCCGCTTTTTGACAAAAACTTTCGTCATGTTTCCACCTTGCGCGCACAGTTTAAAACATTCTGTTGCATAATGTAATTCCATATTTAATATATAGTTTTATGACATTTGTAAACTACTGTGAACCAAAAATTCTAAGAGTTTCATGTTAAATTTTTATTTTATTTGGAGTCGAGTTTATAAAATGTATTTTATTAAAAAAAATCTGTAATGTTTTCGCGCATAAAATTTTTTAATATTAAAATATTCATCAGATTTTAGGTTCAGTTAAAAAATAGGGCTCATATAAAGAATTCCATCAAATTTCAAGTATGTACCATTAGCCATTTTTAAAATATCATGCGCGCAAGGTGGAAACGAGACGAAAACTTTTTTTAACAGAATGCGGATTAAATTACAAAAATATCTGTGGCAACACAAACTTGTTACTAGTTACTAGTTTCCGAAGTAGCTATTTTATGCAGTCAGCTGTAAAAAGTTCGAAGTAATTGATTTTAAAATAAATAAAATATCCCAATTCTTGCAACAGTCACATATTCGAAGAGTGTCAAGGGGTTTAAGGTGTATGAGCCCCCTTAAAACGTTACGTTATAGAGACATTAGGTATTTTTGAAGCAGGAGTGATGAAAAATGAGCAATGCCCTTGCCGGGAATCGAACCACGGCCCTCTGGAATATGCGCCCAGCGAGCAGACCGCTACACTACGAAGCCATGCTAAGAAGGTGGGAATAATACCTTATATATTTCCCCTTTTAAAGGGCGACTTCGGTTTTTAGGGGACCAAATCGCCAAACCCTGGGTGTGGAGAACCATCATCCAACACCCTTTTTTAGTTCGGGCGCCACTGTACAGACATTAGGTTTTTTTTTTTTGGAAGCAGATCTGAAAAACGAGCAACGCTCTCGCCGGGAATCGAACCACAGAGCTCTGGAATACGCACCCAGCGTGCTGACCACTACACTACTAAGGCATGCTAAGAAGGCGGGAGAAATACCTTATAGCGTAGCATGGAAAGATCTCGAATTTGGGAGAACAGATGAATTTAGGGGGGGGGAGAGCACCAAATTTAGAATGTTATTTTTGAGGTCGCCAATTATTTTTTAAAGCAGCCATCGTGTTTTGTTGTATCTTACATATTCTTGAGTTCAATTTTTTTATATTCTTACATGTTGGTAAATTGTGAATTTTTTGCTTTAAAAATAATTGAATTATGTTGGTCCTATCTTCAGGTTAAGGTTTTTATGCCTTAACCGGTAATCTGCATGCAGTAATTGCAGAATTATCAACAATTTAAAAATTGTTCAAGTGCAGCCAAGCCTAATTATTATTATTATTATTTTTAACCATAGCAACCATGTTTGTTTACATTTGAAACTTAGCAAAATAGTGATTTAAGTAAGTTTTTGTACCTTCAATGTCTCGACCAAAAATAAACTTTCAATCCTGTGCACCGAAAAATGTGCGTTCTTGCCCTCTGGCCGAATTGCTTGCTTTTGCGTAGAAACTAATTTTAACTGTAAAAATTTTTTAATTTTTTTTTTTTTTTTACTGTATTTGGTGTTTTATGTTTTTCTATATTTTTCTATTTTTAATAAAGATATTTTGAGGTCTTATGCATTTTTGCCTTGCCGCGAAGTGAGAAATGAATTAATTGACTGAGAAATATAATCTCTAATGAATTGCGAAGTAATAAGTTTAAATGAAATGCAGCAGAAAATGAGTATAATTTAATATTCCGTACAAGGAAATCGTGTGGTGTTCGCTTCAGATTTTTTTTCTTTTTATATTACTGGAATACGATCTTGAAAGGATAAGTGCTATTATCGCTGCCGCTAAAAATAAATTTAATTCTTACCAAATACGTGCATTTAACTCAATAAAAATTAAAATCCAGACTAAATATCTTATTTCTGATGACGTTTGTTCAAGAAAGCTGCAGTTAAATTTCGTAAAAGTTATTTTCACTAAAGGGAAATTCAAATTCTTAAAAGCTTATGTTTTAATACTATACTTGTAGGCAAATATCAAAGGATACATACTTTTTAAATCAACAGATTCAGAGTTGTGCTCCGGAAATATTGGAGCTCTAGGCTATCCTTCCAGGCCGCACAGGCGGGAAAGTGTTGCATGACTCTAATGCTGTACCAAAGAGCCCGAGTTCGGATCCCAGAGAAGGCATGGATGTAAATTGTCTGTCCCTTCATAGACAACGATGGCTCACTTGCTAGGTGCCACCATAGTAATGCGACCATCGCTTCCGGGCTTAGTAGTGGCCAACGCCTAAAATGGCTAGTGCCCGCCATTAATGGGAGGAACTACTTTTCTAAGCATTCCGCAAGAAAACTGGAAGGAATTTTCAAATATTAGACTGGACATAAAACGATTTAAAACGGTTAAGTAAGAAATATTTCTGTATCTATATTAATATACAGTAATTATTAGTGTATAAGAAGGCCAGGAAATGCACATTTCACTCTTTTTTAGTCCAAAGGGATTTGAATCCCGAAGGACTATTAGTTTCGTTTTGGCATTTTGCGTCGGACTCATAAATGTCGGTTCACTTTTCAAACTGTTGCCACAAAATGTTAGAGTCCTGCATTATATTTGAAGAAATTAAATAATGAAAAATCTGCATAAATGTATGTATATTTCTCGTATTGTGATAAAACAACGGTACATAGAGTCATCGAATTTTGAATAACGTAATCCTCCAACGAATATGAGCATGTGGAAGACCAAATTTGAAATTTGAAATTTGTTTTATGATCGATTTCCTATTTTTTAAAACTTTGACGAATTTTTGATTAACAAACTCAAGGATTTCAAAGCGAGCAATGGCAACGTTGTGCAGAAAAAACATTTTTATCTCCAGCGCGTGAGTCTCTGTATCGGAAATTCTAAAGATATGCTCGTTTTAAAACTATTTTGCGATATTGCTGTTGCACTGGATCTTATGGTTTAAGTGCGAGGAACATGATATTTAATAAAGAAAGGTAACACACAAAATGTTAAAAAACGCCCCTTTGGACGTAATTTAAAATCTGAAACATTTCAGATTTTTTTTTTTTTTTTTTTTTACTTTTGAGGTTTTTTAACTTTGATTATGGATTTAACTTTGATTATGGTTTTTTAAATTTTGATTATGGATTTTAAAAAAACCTAGTTTTATATCCACGTGAACAAAGTATGTCATAAATAAGGTAAATTTAGGTTTTGAAATATTTTTGACAATTGGTTTTCCAGCCAAACCCTGGGACATATATGTCCAAGCCATAGTTAATGGTGGGATACATGTGTCTGACACGTAGCGATCGACTTACTATAAGCACAGCTATTATCCTAGAAAACTTTATTATAGAAAATAGATTTTACATCGTATGGTACAGTGTAAAGCATTTTTTGCATAAACCAACATTACAAATTGAGCAACTCAGATTTGCTCTTTTCTCTATGTACATATGAGTACAACGAGCACGGCGGCGTCTCGATTTTCCAGCTATTAGGAAATGATCCCCCAAAATTCAGAAGATTCCAAGTACTTTTTAATCCAGCAGTCATTTTTAAACTTTTAGTGGGACATAGATGTTTCGTTAGCATATTTCACAAGTGCACATCTGTTTAGCCACCGAGATGTGTCCCGTTAATAATCAAAGGGTAGGTGAAGAAGCACGGCGGCGTCTTGATTTTCCAGCTATTGGGGGATGATCCCCCCCATTCAGGAGATTCCAAGTACTTTTTAATCCAGCAGTCATTTTTAAACTTTTAGTGGCACATATATGTTTTGTTAATAGTCAATATGCCAGTACTTTTAATACTGTAATAAACGGAAGAAATTCATTTGATCGTTTGGTAGAATTTAAACATAGCCAGAAAAATATTTTGAACAGTTACCGTTTTGACGTTTTTAATCCAAAGGAGCAATCTGCCCGGAACGACTATTAATTTCGTTTTGGCATTTTACGCTGATTTACTATATACCTTGATTCATTTTTCAAATTGTTGCCACCAAATATTAGAGCCCTGTATTACAGTTAAAAAAATTAAATAATGAAGAATCTGCATGAATGGATCTATGTTTCTCGCACTGGGATAAAACAACGGTACGTAGAGCCATCCAATTTTGAATAACGAACGTTTCCACCCGAATATGGGCACATAGAAGGCCAAATTTTGAATTTTTTAAAATTATCTTTTTCATATTTTGTAAAAGTTTAACGAATTTTTGATTAAGAAACTGAACGATTTCAAAGCGAACTATGGTAACACTGTACGGAAAAAAATTGTATCTCCAGCACGCGAGACTGTATCGGAAATTCTTAAGATAGGCTCACTTTAAAATTATTTTGCGATATTGGTGTTGAATGGACTTTTACGGTTTAAGTGTGAAGAAGTAGGTATTCAATAAATAAACGTAACACACAAAACGTTAAAAAAACGTCAATTTGGACGCAATGTAAAATCTGAAAGCTTTCAAAATATTTTTTAAATTTTATTTTATATATTTATTTAACATACACAGAGACAAGCTATTTTAAAATCCCTTTTAAACTCAGATTTTATTTAAACATCGATACTTGCATAATTTTCAAATAGCCCGTTTGTTATTTTTCTGTAATGAGATTTAAAAGCCGGTAAAGACGGTGGATTGCGGTGAATGGATGTGTGTATGTATAGTTACATCTACTGCGGAGAAAGCAGCTTGCCAAGTTAGAGGGCAAGGTCCTTCTCTAATACACGCCCTTAGTTCAATAAAGAGGAAGTCGCGTCTGCTAAAAGTATTATACCCTTTCGTCCTTTTAACTGCAGTAGAAATTTAGGAAATTTATTTTGCATTAGTGGAGTCGGAAACGTAAAAACCAGTTTTGAGTACTGTTTGATTTTCTTTAAATAAATAGGATATCGTAATAACCTTACATTAGCTGGCTCCTAGCTAATTCGTGCAACAGTTTGGAAAGTAAATCGCGACTGGGGGATTAGGAGACCCAGTCGCCAAATCCTGGACACGAATTATCATTCATTCACCACCTTTTTGTTCGGGCGCCACTGTAGAGGGATTAGGTTATTTTGAAGCAGGAGCCGTGAAAAAATGAGCAATGCCCTCGCCGAGATTCGAACTTGAACTTCTCGAATACGAGCTAAGTGTGCTACCGTTAATTTATTTAAAATGATTTTTAATAGCTTGTAGCTAAATATACTATAACATGCAGGTAAATAAATAGCTTTGATTACACGCTGTGAAAACTGAAATTTAAAACTGTCAAATGTATCAACTTACAACTGTAACTTCAATGTTTTTTAAAGATATTGTTACGAATTTTCTATTTAGATAGCTAATGTTAGTAGAATTATAATTCAAATTGTTTAATTCCCCTTGCAACTGCAGCGCAAGACGAGTTTTAAGAGAAAGCTATGCCAGTGTGATTCTTCTTTAACAATTTGAAGTAAATTTCAATGATGAAACACAGCAATAACTTTTATTTTACACTCAAAAAATGGTGACATACAAACAAGAGAAGGAAAAGTATATAAACTTATTTTTAAAAAATTAATTACATGCTTCATGCCAGAAAATGCATGCGGCTCTCGAGCCTGCGTTTCAATATTACCAGTAACCTGTACATTATTTATTATTCATCTATTTCAAATGCACGACAGATTAATAACAAAATTAAAGCTGTTACACCGGAAACGATAAAAAAAAATCTGAAAGCTTTCAGATTTTACATTGCGCCCAGAGGCGTTTTTTAACGTTTTCTGTGTTACTTTTATTTATTAAATATCATGTTCTTCTCACTTAAACCATAAAATTCAATTCAACAGCAATATCGCAAAATAATTCTGAAATGGAGCTTTAGAATTTCCGATACAATCTCGGTCGCTGGAGATAAAAATGTTTCTTTTTCCTATATGTTCCATTCCAGTGTTGCCACCGCTTCGCTTTGAAATCGTTGAGTTTTTTTATTAAAAAATTCGTTCAAGTGTTACAAAATATGAAATCGATAATAAAACAAATTCCAAAATTAAGTCTTCCAGATGCCCATATTCGGTGGAGGATTACGTTATTCAATATTTCCTGGCCATAGGTACCGGTTTTTTTATCACAGTGCGAGGAATATAGATACATTTATGCAGATTCTTCATTATTTAATTTCTTTAAATATAATAAAGGGCTGTAATATTTCGTGGGAACATTTTGAAAAGTGAATCAACGCAAAATGCCATCTGGGCAAATTGCACCTGGACTATTAGTTGAATTAAACTAATTTTTAACTCGAAGGTTTTTTTTAACGATTTGAAATCTGAAATGAAAATATAATCTCGCAAAACCTGGAATGAATATACGAATGAAAATTCTATTCAAGGAAAGGTCTGATTCGTGACCGAGTAATTAGATCGCGGAATACTGGTAGTTCGATCCCTAGCGAGTGAGCTGGCTGAATGGTTAGCTTCTATGTTTCCCCATGCGTCTGAGTGTATGAATACAAGCCAGTCTTCCTTATGGTCTTCATCGAAGTCCTCCCTTCCCTTAGCTAGATAATCTTCATGAAAATACTTTATATACTCCCCCTCTTTAAAGAGCGACTGGGGGATTATGAGACCCAGTCGTCAAATCCTGGTGACGAATTATCATTCATTCACTACCTTTTTGTTCGAGCGCCACTGTAGAGTCATTAAGTTATTTTGAAACAGGAGACAGGAAAAATGAGTAATGCCCTTGCCAAGACTCGAACCTGGACCTCTCGAATACGCGCCGAGTGTGCTACCGTTACACCACGAAGGTCTGTTGGAAGAAAAGGGAAATGCCTTATAAGATGACTACCAGCTTTGTTTATTTAAATATAGGCTTAGTAAATTGTTTATTTAAAGATGATTTTATGGAAACAGAATTAAACCAGGAATGGAAAAGTTTTTAAATACAACATTTAACTTCGTTCCCTACACAGCATAAATTAATAAAATGTTCATCATTCTTATATAACATAGTGGAACCTCGAGATATGAGCACCTCTCTACGCGAGAAATTCGAGATACGAGGGAAGTATGAGCAAAACATTTGTCTCTAAATGCGAGCATTGACTCGAGTAACGAGCAGTGAGCCAGGCCGTTGGTATGAGTGGAGCCATTTCCCGATCCGGCTCGACTCGGGGAATCCCCTCGTCAGATCACTCGGTGGTCTTTGATCTACGTGTTTATGCGCTTGTGAGTTAATTGTTTTTTACATTTAAAGCGAAAATAATTATTTCACGATGCCTTCCAAGAAAATTGTTGCCTCAGATAGTGCTGCAAAGGAAACGAAGGGAGTCATGGCCGTTGAAATTAAGAAAGAAATCATAGATAAACAC